GACAAATTATTTTTAAATGTTATCTTGAATAAATTAATAGCAGAGTAAGTAAAATACAGATATTTAAGAAGTAACTATGAACAACCATGCCACAAAATAACATGATTTTTGTTTATTTTTTTAATTCTTTAATTGCCCTCCAATTTCATGACAAGTCCATATGCTGTTCTATGATCTCTCCTATTTCCTAGAGAAGGTAATAAAATCCTTAAATCAAAAAATTGATTAATTTTTTTCCTAGACCTTTTCTCTGGATGTGTGCATGTCCATGTTGGTTGCAATCCTAGACTTTCCTTATAATAAACTTGGACAACAACAGCAAATACATCACACTCACTGCCGTCCAGTCAATGCTGACTCACACTGACCCTTTTGGGTTTCTGTTTACCAGAGTAGAAAGCCCAGTCTTCCTACCAAGGAGCTGCTGGTGGTTTTGAACTGCTGGCCATGCGGATCACAGCTCCACTTGTAACCACTACACGACCAGGGCTCCTGTAATAGGTAGTGCTTTGTCAATGTAATATCAACCTTATTACCCTCTGTGAGTAAATCTGAGGTAATATGTTTGGTCTCTATGAATGTTACCAAAGAGAAGGATTTAATGGCAGATTAGACAAATACTCTGTCCCGATAATTTTAAACAAAGACTTGAGAAACAAAGTGAATGCCCAAGACAACAATCCTGGAACCCAGAGCTCCGAAGGAAAGGATAAAGAAATAGATAAAATACCGTGGATCTCCCGTGTGCTCTAATCAGATGTGCCCCTCCCCCCAAGCGGTAGCCCCAGTACTATTTTCTGAAGTGCATTCTTCTGGGGAGAGGCTGTCCACATAGTCGGGATTGGGGCCGGCCCCGCAGACCTCTTTATTGGTTCCCTGGCACATGCCGGTATGTTGTATTCATGTCTTGGCGCATATGGTCGAAGTCTGGTCTCTCTCTCCTTCTGTGGAGATATAAACAGTACCCTCCCCTTGGGTGGGTTAGTGCCCTGTGCCCCATGTCTTTTTTTCTTCTTTCTTTCCCCCTTCTGTTTAGGTTGGCTTCCGTATGTATCCCTGGATTGGGTTTGTCCCCTGCCAAAATAGCTGGACCTCACCCCTGTGCCCCATTTTTTTCTTTAAACTTATCTCAGTGGACTCATGTTGTACTTGTCCTTTTGCGCTTGGCTTACTTCACTTATCATGATTTCCTCCAGTTCTTCCCATGCAGCAATGTGCTTCAAACAAAATGGGATGGAGAGGAAGGGGAGGACATCCTGGCTCACCACGCCCTGAGGACAATATTCTTGCTTGGAGCCGACAATGCACAGAGAGGACCATAAGGCTGGCCCCACCATGTGACACGAATTCCCTCACTAAACCATAGCACTTCGGGGGACAACACTGGGACACAGGGTAGGAATTGTACACAATCTGACCCCATCATGCTAGGGTGAAACACTAAGGGCATGCAACAGCGCAGCAAGGGGAGCAAAGTGATGAAATCCCCAGGGAATACCAAAAATAGACTTTGGTGACAGAGTGTGGCACCCCATCAGACTCGACTGGAAAATATTTTAAAGGCCAACAGACAGACCTTGAACTATTTATAGGCTTTTCCATGTTTGTCAGTGGCTTTCTTTTTGTTGTTTTTGTTGTTGTTGTTTTGTTGGTCTTGACTTCCTTTGTTGTTTTGTTTGGCTTTGCCTGGTTTTGCATTTATTAATGTCTCTGCATATCTCTCTAGATAAAATAGGCAGGATAAACATTTCGGAGATGAGATGAATGGGACCAACGGTTCTGTGGGGATACAGGTGAAGGGGAGCTGGCAGAAAAGAAGGGTGGGGGGGACAAACCCAGGAACAAGGGAACAACAAGTGAACTATAACTGATGGAGAGAAGGGCATAGAATGCCTAGTGGGGTTTAATCAAGGGCAATGTAGCAGCGAGTAATTACTAAGCTCGAATGAAGGCCAAACATGATGGCGGGACAAGAGGAAAGTAAAAGGAAATAGAGGGAAGAACCAGGAGGCAAAGGACATTTATAGAGGTCTAACTACAGGCATGTACACATGTAGATATATTTATATATAAAACGGGAGGGGAATAGAACTATGTACTCATATCTATTTGTTAAGAATTAAGTTTGAAGATGGACATTGGGCCTCGACTCAAGTACTCCCTCGATGCAAGAACACTTTGTTCTAACAATCTGGCATTTTTTGATGCTCACCTTCCTGATACAATCACTGAAGACAAAATGGGTGCATAAGCAAATGTGAAGAAAGCTGATGGTGCCTGACTATTAAAAGATACAGCGTCTGGGGTCTTAAAGGCTTGAAGATAAACAAGCGGCCATCTAGCTCAGTAGCAACAAAGCTCACATGGAAGAAGCACACCAGCCTGCATGATGATGAGGTGTTGAGATCAGGTATCAGGCATCTAAGACCCAGAACGAAATCATACCTAATGTGAATGGGGCGGGCAGGGCATGGAGTGGAGACCCAATGCCCATCTGTAGACAATTGAACATCTCCTCACAGAGGGGTCACAAGGAAGAGATGAGCCAGTCAGGGTGCAGTATAGCACCGATGAAACACACAACTTTCCTCTAGCTCTTTGGTGCTTCCTTCACCCCACTATCATGACCTCAATTCTACCTTACAAATCAGATTAGACCAGAACATGCACACTGCTACAGATAAGAGCTGCAACACAAGGAATCCTGGATATATAAACCCCTCAGGGCCAACAATGTAAGTAGAGATACTAAGAAGATTAGGGGAGGGTGGGGGAAGAAAGGGGGACTCGATCACAAGGATCAACCTAGAACCCTCTCCCAGGGGTACGAACAACAGAAAAGTGGGTGAGGGGTGATGGAGGATGATGTAAGATATGAAAATAATTATAACTTATCAAGGGTTTGTGAGGGACGGCAGGCAGGGAGTAAGGGGGAAGGAATGGGTAGCTGATATCAGGGGCTCAAGTGGGAAGAGAATGCTTTGAAAATGATGATGGCTGCATATGTGCAAATGTGCTTGACACACTGGATGAATGTGTAGATTGTGATAAGAGATGTAAGAGCCTCCAATAAAAGTATTTAATAAAAAACTTTAAAAATACTGTGGAGAGGAAGAGACAGGACAATGAAAATTCACTGGCCTCTCGTTGAGGCTGACTCATAGCAACCATGTAAGACAGGTTAGAACTGCCCCTGTGAGTTTCTGCGACAGTAGCTCTGAACGGAAGTAGAAAGCCCCATCTTTCCCCTGAGGAGCAGCTGGTGGTTTTGAAGTGCTGATCTTGCAGTTAGCAGCCCAACATGTAACTACTACACCATCAGGGCTCCTCTGAATAACCAATAATAAGGAGAGGTAAATTGCAAATTTGCAAAGAGTGACCATTTTGAATGATTTTAAGAAGCATTACAATCACCGCACAAACTAGAAAATTAACAGGCTCCACCAGCACCCACATTGGTGTGACCAGAGGGGTGTGAACTCCTCTGGTGCAACCTCTAGGGGACTGCAGGTGCAGTCCCCCCCCACCCCACCCCCACCACCCACCCCATGCAGCAACCAAACACCCCCCACCCCAACCTCATCTATGCCTCATTATTTTCTTCTCAGTTCCTCTGCAACTGTTTGTTTTCTTTTTTTCTAGTTTTTTCCTTCTTCCCTTCACCCTTTTGCATCCCTTGTAGCAGTTGGTTCCCCCAACCCCGCAGCGCCTGCATGGGTGGTAGCACCTGCCCCTGGCCCTCCTCAGTTGGCGTACACACTACCATGGAGCAAGGGTTTGCATTCTGGCCCACACACGTTTGGTGGATAGCACTTTTGTCAGTACTACACTGCTTCGCCCCCACCCCCACCCCAGCTTTTCTCCTTCTTTGTTCGTTCTTCTCCCTCCCCTCCTTCCTTCCACGCCTGTTTTCTTCCTCTCCCTTACCTCTATTTATTTATTTGATCCCACGGAGCAGGTGTCCGCCCTGGCCCTGCCGTGGACAACGCTGCCCCTTCCCCTGGTGAGCTCTGAATTCCAGCCGCAGTTGTGTTTGGCAGTTAGCACTTGCAGCAGCTTTCTGTTTTCCTCCATTCTTCATCTGTGTCCCCTTTGTTTTGTATCCTTTTCTTCTTCTCCTTCCCCTGTTGTTTAATCTTGGATTTTCCATCCCACGGAGCAGATGCCAGCCCCCAACCCTTCTGTTGACAACAGCGCTTGCTCTCCCAGTCAGCTCCGTGTCTACTGCTGCTAACACACAAGTCCCCCATACCTTTCTTCTCGGCCCTCCTCCCTTTAATCCCCATTGCCCATATTCTCTGATCACACCGACGGGTGCCCCAGCCTCTGCCACCTCTGCATCCTGAAGCACCCACACCCGGCCCTCAACATTTCTGCTGCAGCTAGTACCACAGTCAACTTGGCAGGTAGCATGAAAACTATGCCACACAATTCCCTATCCCAACTCCCATTTTTATCATTTTCTTGTCAGATCTCCTCTCTCCCTTCCTCTATATTTTGTTTCTTTTTTTGGTCTCCACCTACCTCTCTCCCCCTGCCCAGCCGCCCACTGCTGTTCCCCTATCTTTTTCAAGTCAAGGGGAGCCAGTCAATCTGCACAGCTATACCCACCGCACCTGAGCACGACCACCCCCTCCAGCACCACTGTGTCACTGGACAATAGCAAGTGGCACCCAACACCTCCCAGCCAACCCTCAGAGGCTCTGCACAAACCGTGATCAGAGACTTACCCACTCCCACACTCCTCTTCACTACCAGCTCCACCTGGAGAGAGGTGTTGATTCACTGCTGCCAAACTAGTAACCTGAAGATGTGCTTTTCCTGTTGCCTGGATACATGAAAACAAAACAAAAATCAAGGTGAAACAAACCAATATACAGTCAATAAATTGATATAATAACACTAAAGTGCCTTAGAGATGACAGACAATTTCAGATCACGCGCGCACACACACACACACACACAGAACAAGATGGCTCAAACAAGTGACAAGAATACAGGACCAGAAAATTTCCTGAGGAACAAATGCTAGGGGAACAACTTAATAAGGAATTCAAAGAATAGATTCAGTGCATTCAACAGATTGAGAGAAATTTTGAGGAAACCAAAATCAAGGAAAACACAGACAAAAACATAGAATAATAATTTATATTCCTGTGTGCATGTATAAAAAAACTGATAAAATAAACAGAAAATCAGAAGACATACAGAACCACCAAATCGCTCTGCAGAAGATAAACACTAAAATTTTAGAAATAGATAATACATTCAAAGAAAAAATGGCATAGAAATGAATCAATGGAAGACAGATTAATGACCTTGAAGACAACCTTCCGGAATACTAATCTATTAGAGAAATAGCGAGAAAAAAGGAGTAAACAAATAATTAAGGTAGTTTACTATGTGACACACCCTCAAGGATAACTTATATGTGACAGGAATTCCAGAGCCGAAAGAGACCAAAAGAGCACCAAGACAACTGTCCAAGATTCGCCGGAAGAAAACTTTTGAATAGCATGAAAGATCAGAAGGTATGCCTTCGAGAAGTCCAATGATCCTGAGCAGAATATGGGATAGAAGAAAAATCCTCAAGACTTATCATAGCCAATGTTTCCAAAACCAAACAAAGAAAGCATCTTGGAAGCAGTTGGGGATAAATATTCACAAAGGTGGATAATCAATAAAACTAAGCTCTGATTTCTTCGTAGAAAACAAGCTGGCAAGAAAGTAATGAGATTACATATATAAAACCTTGGGGGGAAATTTCCAAACAAGGACGATATATCCAGGAGGACACTTCCAGATAAATAGGAATTAAGGGAATTTATAAACCAGACCAACCTTATAAGAAATGCTAAAGGAGTCCTTCAGACAAAGAATCAACTGGAGATTAACACACAGAACATCACCTGGAAATTAATCCAAAATATAGAAGTACCAAAAACAACCCCACCAGACTGGAAATATAGAACCATCTATGTCACTATTTAAGTGATTATAACTACAAATCAAAAATAGGGAATAACTGATATGACTACAGAATTTTCTCATGCCTCATATGCATTTGAAACTGGGACATGGAATAAGGAAAACCTAAGACTAATTTGAATTGATACATTTGAATTATGGTGTTGGTAGAGAATATGGAATAAATGAATCTGTTTTGGAGGCAGTATAGCCAGAATGCTCATTAGAAGCGAGGGTGGAGCGTATTCCCAAGTATTTTGAACATGCTATTGGGAGAGACCAATCTCTGAAAAAGGACACCATTCTTGGGAAATTAGAGGGCGAACAAACGAGAGAGAGCTCTGAATGAGATGGCTGGTAATGGGCTCAAACATGACAACGGTGGCAGCGGCAGGGGACTGGATAGTGTTTCACTCTGTTGTCCACACGGTCATTATGAGTTAGAGCTGATTCTACGGCACCTGACAACAACATACAAAACTAACAGCAAACATTCTATCCTTTTTCTTTTTTAACATTATTTTCAACAGAGGTAAATGGAAAGTATTCCCTTGTGAACTTGAACCAGGCACGGGTGCCCTTTATCCCCTTTCCTTTTGAATATTGAATGGGAAGTCTTAACCATGATCGTAAGGCAAGAAAGGGAAATGAACGGCATCCACGTTTTAAAGAATAAGTAAAACTCTCGCTACTTGCAGGTTACATAACCCTACATGTAGAAAATCCTATGGAGTCAAAAGAAAACAATTAGAATTTATGGAAGGACTCAGAAAAGAGGTAAAGTACAAGATGGATATAAACAATTTAGTGGGATTCCTCTACACTAACAAAAGCAACTAGGAAAAAGGAATCATGAAAACAGTACTATTTGCAAGTACTATGCAAAAGATGAAGCACTTAAGAATAAATCTAACCAGATGCAAAAAATGTGTACAAAGAAAACTATAGCACACTGTCATGGACCTTGTGATAGTAATCAAATATATAACCCACTACACCACCAGGTATCCCTACAAGAAACCAAAAGAGATCTATGTAATTGGAAAAACATACCCTGCTCACAAGTAGGAAGACAACGTTGTGAAAATGTCAATGCTATCTGCAATCCCAATCCAGGTTCCACTATCATACTTTAAACAGATGGATATTAATCGCCAACTTTATATGGAAAGGCAAGAAGCCCTAGAGAAGCAAAGTACTATTAAAGAACACAGCCATGGTAGTTCAAGCAGCGTGTTTGAACAGCAAGTGTAATGACAGACACACAGACAGACCCACGGAACAGAACTGAGAACCTCAAAGTGCATCCATCCACTAATGGACAACTGATCTTTTGATGAACTGATCTCTATCTGATCATTATCTTTGATAAAGGTCCAAAGCTCATTAAATGTTCCTGGAAAAAATTGAATATCTATTTGTAGATAAATGAAACTGAATACATATCTCACACCATATAAAAAACTAACTCTAAATGTAAATGTAAACCCTAAAGCTATAAAGATCATCAAAGGAAAAAATACATAGAAGCAAACCTGAGGACATTATCAAACATAACTAGAAATGCACAAACAGAAGTCAAACTAGATTCCTTGGGCCTTCTAAATTTTAAACACTTGTGCACACGAAGAAAAGTTTACTCACAGAATCATTCTTTGAAGGTTACCAGGGGAAGGGAAGGTAATGACTAACTAGAAGTTAGTAATGTATTAACTTGGGTTAAGGGGAAGGCAAAATACAGTAAGGGGAGGTCAGCACAAAGCGATCATGGTAAGAGAATACAATCGGAGAAGCACAAGAATTAAAGGCAATAAAGGTAAATACTACACCTACATGGTCCTGAAATAACAGTAATAATATGAGTGCATACATAGGCAGATACAGTAGAGGTGCAATAAAGGGGGTGAGAAGGCAAATGCCAATACACTCATCTATTTATTTAGGTTTAACAGAGATTTTTTTCCCTGCTTTAACTTTTATTAACTATTCTGTTAAGCCTAATTTACTCCTCAACCATAAATTTTTGCTTTTTCCGTTTATTCTGGGATATCGGTGCAGCCTCCTCTTCTGGTTCAGGAACAATTTGTTCCCTTTCAATAAGGATCATGTCAACATGGCAGGGGAAGCTCATGGCTGGATTGATCCGACTATGAGCTCTGTGAGTCTGTCTGCACATCTTGGGGGCTGTGTTCACCTGGATGGATGTGCTTAATGACCAGAGAATCCACATCTAAACCCTTCAGTTCAGCAGTACTCTGCATTTTAATCATGTGCAGCAACAATTCAGCACCCTTTTGACCTTGGGTCCAACCCCACTGTTTGGCCTGGGCACATACACCATCTCCACCATTGGGATGTCGGGAAGGCACACACTGACTGCTTCTGCAAAATGACATCTTTCAAATACTCGGTGGCTTTCTGGATATGCATACCCTTGATGGCCCAGGCAGTTTCATGGGTGTTCTTAAAATGGACTCAAAGATTTGACCCACTTGATTTGCATGATTTTGTGGGTTTTTTTGGTTTATCAAGTGAATAGCAAACCATTTTGGCAGCTCACCTCAGGCCGCTCTGGGAAGAGGAAGAGTGGTTGATTCTGGGAGAATTCGAGCTGTTTCTACATGTGTATTTACATATGCTGCAAATATATTCACAAATGTAGTAGCATGTACAGGGGCAAAGTTATGAAAACTTTGTAGACATAATCAAACATCTTAAGGGAATGAGTCACTGGACCCAAGGGCTCAAAACTATATTCTGGGGGGGGGGCACTAAAATCAATGGGTATAATGTACTGTACAAAAACAATATTCTACAACCTACTTTGATGAGTTCTGGTTTTTTTTAAACTGTCAGGGGCCATCTAAGGCACGGTTGCTATCTCCTTGTCTAAAATAAACCAATTTCCATCCAGTCAAATTTGGACTCATAAGGACCTCACAGGGCAGAGTACAACTGATTCGTAGGGTTTATAGGGCTATATACTCTTTTAGAAAGTCGACTACCGTATCTTTGTCCAGCGAAGGAAGCATCAGTGGGGTTCGAACACCCACCTTTGGGTTAAGAGGATTCGCAGCAGATGAATTAGTTATTGCGCCACCAGAGATCCTTGGAAAAGTTGTGGGTATAGGGCGGGGGTGTGGTGGGTGGGAGGTAAAGGGGTGTGGTGAACCTGGAGCTGAAAGGAGGGCTCCTGCACCCTTGTCAGCCGCAAGGTGGCACTGCTTTAGTGCACCAGACAAACCCAGAGACCCAGGTGCCCCGTGCTACCCGCCGGCTTAGGCAGGAGGCACAGACACCCACCACCTCCGCCCCATTGCTCTTTGGGCGCAGGTCCTGCTGGGCCCGGGACTCCAGGGAGGGCGATTAGGTTGGGTTCCGAAATCCCCCAGGTCCTG